AAAATTTTAGTAATTCCCTATTATAAATAAAATCCCGCGCCGCCTTCACCAAATACTAAGCATTCAAGAATGCTTCTTGCCAGTTTATGGCTTTATTGTTTCTACTATAAATGAAATCTAATTGTTATTTGTACATATGTCTATAATACTAATTTGTTCGTTTTGTTTAAGATATTTGCTTTCAGCTATTTTCAGAATTTGACTGTTATATCGATTTTGACAAATTATTATTGTACTAAAAATTACATTACAAGGACTTGACATTGAAAAAAGACGGAATGTAAAAAAAAACAAGAATTTGACAAAAAAAATATTTTAAATAAAGACATGGCTTCGGCCTAACATTTATAAAAATGTTTTAAGAAGAAAATTAAAAGAAGACAAAGCATAGGCCTGATATAAAAACTTGCGTCAAGAATAAAAATGGAGATTAAGACATTTAAAAATAATTAAAGATACAAAATACAAAAGACATGGCTGTATAGGCTTTGTTCTCTTTGCCTGTTCTGAACGGAACGAACATAACCAAAAAAAAAAGTAACTGTTGAGCGGGAAAGTAGTGACGCGATTTGTGTTTTGCAAATTAAATTGAGTTCTTTGAGATTTTCTTGTTCTGTTAGTTTGTGTTTTGTGTTCAGATAATAATTATTTTAAACTCATTAAGGCACGTTTAACTTAAAGTGTGAAATTTTATTAAAACATATCGATTTATAGTTTGTTACTTGGTAAGTTCCCCGGGAATTTTGAACATTGAAATCTTATGTATTCATGTGTTTGTACCGAAATTTAACTTTAAAAACTCGTATCTTTGCTTAAAAAATAAAAAATAACACCCAAAAGAAGGTTTTTGATAATAATTCCTCTCAGATACTGTTTACAAGAAAAACGTATCTAGGTACTATATAAAATAATTGTGGAGATAATTTCGTACAATTTAAGTCATTACGATGGAAGTTTAGAATTATCACAAGAAGCAGGACATTTCATTCAAATAACGGAGCACACTATCCGTGCTTTTCGACAAACTTTCTTGCATTTTCAAGTACTGCGTTGAATTTCATATAGGTAGGTATACCTTGATCTATTCGTATAATGCGGATGCGATGTGACGACCAATGAAGGCGTGCTAAAGAAATTGATTTGCGTCTCTTTTATCATGTTTACTATTTATAAAGGGTATTTGTCTTATCATTGTTAAAAAATGTCACGAGCGTCTAATGTACGAGGTGACAAAGATGATCTTGCTTCATAACACATGAAAATCTATAAAAGTGAAAATTTTCGTAACTCTCAAATGTATACATAATATGTAAAGTATATAATATATATGTATGTACAGGTCTGTGGATTCAACAATTTTACTTCTATATCACATTTCTTTCGTCATTTTAAACAAAAGGTCGAAAAATAGTTTGAAGAGCGATATTTACTACACATATCTCTCTCTCTGTCTCACACTCTTTCTTTCTCTCTCATTATGTCCTCATGGCTGAGCTATGACGCTTGGCTTGTTCTCTGAACGCGGGAAAGTATGTTGTGAACACGATTTGAATTATTTTAAATATGTAGAATTTAACTCTTTTAAGGTGTTTTGGTTTAAGATAATAATTAGTTTGCTCTAGTTAAGGTTTTATTGTTAAAATAACACTTCATTTCTGTAATCGAAATGAATTCATTACTGTTTTGAAATGAAATAAAAATTTTCCTTTTCAATTATAAAACAATAAAAAATTCTTCATCTTTTAATCACCAAACGAAATGTTACATAAAACAAAGCCTGGTGGCGAAACGGAGTTCGCCGGGTTTACTAGTCTCATTAATAATGAGTCATTATACAATAAAAATAAACGCTCACATCTCGTCTGTCCGTGATCACGGTTGCTGAAAAGTAGCCGAAACGTCGGGAGTATGTAGTTTTTATCAAAAATCAAGTCGCGTAGTATATCCGAAAAATATTAGTTTCATTTACAATAAAATGAGTTCAATACACACATTAATACGTATTATAAGCAATCAGCTTACCACCGTCATCTATACTAATATTATAAAGCTGAAGAGTTTGTTTGTTTGTTTGAAAGCGCTAATCTCAAAATCTATTGGTTCGAATTGAATAATTCTTTTTGCGTTGTAAAGTCCAGTTTTCGAGGAAGGTTGTGGGCTATATAACATCACGCTACGACCAATAGGAGCAAAGATATAGTGGTAAATGTGTAAAAAACGGGAGAAATTATTTCATCTTTGAAGCCTTCCGTTGCGTGCGCCGTGAAAACGGTTCAAGATACACAAAAAATATGTATTAAAGAATAATAGCTCTTTTAATGATCTAAAAAACAGTCCGCGACAGTATATGTCTATCTTTTAAGATTAACTCACAAACACCGTTTTTATGGTACCTAATTTGGTCGAAATAATTTGTTTAAGTTGTATCAACATAATAATATTAATCTTTATTCAAATAAACAAATAAATATGTTGTTGGTTAAGAGTACTTCATTGTGAATAGAAAAAAGCAGGTTTTATCCTGAAAATTCTACGGGAACTCGACCATTCCGAAAACCCCGCAAGAACGGGAACTATGTGGGAAGAGCCAAAAATCTGCCGGAAGTCACTATTTCACGCGGACGTAGTCGCGGCAATAGCTAGTTATTTATGAAAGAACTACCCACACGATTGTTTATAAAAGAAGCATTCAAACCGCCGCGCGTCTCTTGGCTCTTGGCGTTCGTAATGCAATCACCGGTCGTGTAGTTTTGTTAAAGCGTGTAATAAATAATTATTAAGTTTAGGATTTTAATCTTTCTATTTAATTAATTTTGTTGTAAAAATTACTTTTCGAGACATAATACCTAGGTCAAGTGTTAAAATTGTTTCTTTTTTAATATATCTGCTTCTGATTTCTAAAAGTATAATATTTTTCAGGTCAACTGAAAGAGCATCAGATTCGAGACTACAACCCGTTCGAGGAGGTTCTACCTCTGTGTTCTACTGAGCACTTGATTAACCTGCCCAAGGTATGTACGTCATATAACTCTACTGCTACTTGTATAATTATACTACTACTTATTTATCTACAATTAACAAACTGCAATTATATAATAATATATTATTTTCAGAACAAAGCCCGCCCTCCCATCAAGGACGTCGCGTGTCACGCCATCAGCGACACGTATGAAGGTGTCACGTTGGTCATACAAGAGGGTCTTCTGTGTCGCGAGTGTGACACGCCGCTTGACAGTGACAAACACTTTCTGTTAGTATAACCACTTGATAAAACGACGCTGAAACATTGAATACAATCAGATTTATTGAATGTCAGTAAAGAGACGTAGTTTTTTCTTTATCGTGTTGAAAACACTCATTAACTTTTACAAAAAAAATGTTATTTTAGTAGCCCTTATTATATTGTGATATCATCTTTTTAATATTTCTATATTTTCTAATGAAGAAAGATTAGATAAATAATATACCAAATGTTTAATACATACTAAAGTATAATTTTAATATTATCAATATACAGCGGTCGCACGTCGCGCAGCAAGTGTCCATATGCTACATCATGTTACCGAGCGATGTTGAGACACAGTGGATATTACGACGGCTCACTTTCACTGGAGGCCGCTCCTAGACCCGCTCCCACGCTATACTGCGTCTGCGAATACTCTACAGACATAAGTCAGTCAGTCTTTTATAAATTTTATAACTAACTATGTAACTGTTAGACCAGCAGCATATATAGATCAATATAAAATATACAATTAACCAATGACTATAGTAACTAATAAAATATTAAGATTTTAATCCCCAGACGGCATCGTTAAATTAAACAAGTAGTATTAACAGATTTTATTGCGAAGATTTATTATGAGTAATGGGAAAGAAGAAACAATACGTATTAACTTTCGCGACGCAAAAATTGTATACAGTTCGTAAATATTGCCATTCTGTATGAAAAACTTTGTTGTTCTAATATAATATTACTCCAGGCACGGACATTCTATCTCATCTCCTCGTGACACAACACACAAGCGCGTACTTAACTGAGGAACTAGCACGAGCCAACACCGTCAGGGAAGAACCAAAACTTGCTTATGAAGTAGAGCCTGTGAGTAACTACTAGTGATTACTCATACTGTTTTTCGATTATATTATAATATATTATGACATTGTTTATATATTTAATGTTTTAGATTGTGGAGAACATGCCGGCTATCCCAGATTACGCTCCCCCATCGGTCATCAACACTCAGCTATCTCTAGATGATCTTGCCCCACCTTCAGTTTTACAACCTGGTCAGGTGTGTACTATGTTTCATAGGGGAGAAATATAATTTAAATTTAATAAACAAATAATTTATCCCTACTAATCCCTACTAATATTATAAATGCGAAAGTAACTCTGCCTGTCTGTCTGTCTGTCTGTCTGTCTGCTACGCTTTCACGCCTAAACCACTGAACTGATTTTAATGAAATTCGGTACAGAGATAGAGTTGACCTTGAGAAAGAACATAGGATAGTTTTTATCCCAGACTTTTGAAAGGTTCTCTTGGAAACGCGATATAACCGAACTCCACGCGGCGAAGCTGCGGGCGGAAAGCTAGTATTACATATTTTTTTTAAAGCATGATCAAGAACTCCTGAAAGACGCATATGACCACCCTCTGGCAACACCGAGACACGAAGAACCGCACAACACACTCGGAGACTTTGAACCCTTGCCTCAAGAGCCACCTCCACAACCAGACTTTGAACAACTGTAATCTTATATATTTAGATAGATGTTTATCAGATAATATTCTTATGTCAAGTGATACAAATATATTGGTTCTAAATAAATGGAAATGAAATGTATGAAAGATTCCAGCTCACAAAGTAAGCAATATTTAGCTGTGTATGACCTATGTAACATATCTAACTGTAAGAACATTGTCAGTTTTAAATTATTTAAGAAATATTATAAAGGAACTTACTGGAGGTCAAAAACGGCAAATAGAGTCATAATAATGGAATTTCAAAAGAGTATGTATCAATCACTATTAAATTAGATCTTGGCGAGGAAATAGAGAAAAGGATAATTTAGTCAACAACATTTATTAATATTTTATATATTTCTCTCCATTATACAAATGTATTTACATTTTTAATATAGTAAGTAAAACATGTTTAGTGATGTTAAGTTATTCTAAATAAAAAGTTACATTCATCTTGGCTTTCTTCTAATTTTTATAAAAGTTTATCACTTTATTGCTAACTCCATAATCTTCTATCTTGCTGTCATCCTTGTCAAGTGTTAAGCTGTCGTAATTTCAACTCTTTCATATATACCTCCAAGATATCTTCATTCTGTTACCCATCCTTTGTTGATATAATTCAAAGTGTCTCGCAATATCTCTCTTTAGTTGCCTCACTGTTGAGTTTTGCGGATCAGTCCAATCTTATATTGTATGAGTATATGTATTATTCAATGTCACTGAAATATTTTAATATTGAAAAATCTAAATCGTAGGTTGTACAAAATCTGGATCTCTTTAAAAACTGTTTGTACATAAGTTTAACATACATTTCTCGTTTTATATGTATGTTGTATATACACAAATACATACATTACATATAAACACACATTGTGGATATTGTGTAAATAAGTTCTGTTTGTGTACGTAACGTCATGTAAGATCAATGTACTCTTCTTTCGTAGCATGCTCTTAGCAGATCGTAGTATGCTGCTTTTGCTTTATGAACACCTGGTCCTTCATATTATGAAATAAACGTGATCTCCAAGAATAATTTTGTTCCATACAAAGCCAAGAAAGAAACTCAGAGGAGCTCGTAAACTAATTTTAGTGTGAAGATGGTTCTCCTAATTTAGTTAAGCAGTTTTTTTTGTTTTGTTTTTTACATAAACAGTCATGTGGGATGTACTTACCACATTTTATTTTGAAATTATTATTAAATAGAAAATCCTATTATTAAATAGAAAAAAGGCCGTAATTAAATTTGTTGGTTGTTTATTTATTTTTTGTTTGCTGGTGAAGCAACACTGACACAACTCATAAAGTCATAACATCTTACCAGGAGAACATAGAGCCAAACGGGTGACGGCCCGCTGGGGATAGAAATTGATTTGTGTATAGGAATGGTTTTTTTTTTATATATGCGTGTGCTTGTGGATTAAACCAAAAGTAAAAGATTTTCATAAAAAAGCTATTACCAGTCAGCTATTTTCGAGAATATGTAATCTTAAGCTAGAAATATTATTTAAACTTACATTCCTATCTAAGAAATACACGCAACAGAACTTAGAATATCTTATCTATCAAAGTAAATGTGCCAGCATATGTATATCTATGTGTATATTTATACACTAGCTTTCCGCCCGCGGCTTCGCCCGCGTGTAGTTCGGTTATATCGCTTTTCCAAGAGAATCTTTTCAAGTCTGCTATAAAAACTATTCTATGTTCTTTCTCAAGGTCAACTCTATCTTTGTGCCAAATTTCATTAAAATCAGTTCAGTGGTTTAACTTCAAAAGCCAATTTTTTTAACTTGATACACCTAAAACTTCTAAATATGATGTTCCTAGGTTCAGTGGTTAAAATTTTGTATACAAAAAGTTTAGCTTCGTAGTTCCTGTTCCGTTCTGTTCGAATTTCGGGAATTCCGTGTGTAGAATTTCACCCCCACGGTGGTAAAAATAACAAACGATTTTAAATTTCAAAAACGCTAGAACAAATGTTTAAATAAGTCTTATCAAGTGCTTAAATATAAAGTTTCATGGTATTATCTTTTAAAATTAAGAAATCCCATACAATCTTTCAACCCTTATTTCACCTCCTCACTGGTCGAAATTTCAAAAACGCTTGAACAAATGTTTAAATGTATCTTATCAAGTGCTTAAATAAAAATTTTCATGGTTATATCTTTTAAAATTAAGAAATTCCATACAAACTTTCAACCCTTATTTCACCCCCTCACTGGTCGAAATTTCAAAAACGCTAGAACAAATGTTTAAATATATCTTATATAATGCCTTAATATAAAGTTTCATGGTTTTATCTTTTAAAATTCAGAAATACCGTACAAACTTTCAACCCCTATTTCAACCTCTTCATCCCCTTTTTCGTAATAAAAGGTAGCCTATATTTTTCTCAGGGTCTAAAAATTGTCTGTGCCAAATTTCATCAAAATCGTTTGAGAGGTTTAAGCGGGAAAGCGTAACAGACAGACAGACAGAGTTACTTTCGCATTTATAATATTAGTTGTGATTGACTCCCCTCCCCGTACCCCAGTGACGCTTACATGGAGCCTACATCGCATGCTGGCTAGCTGAGCGCGGTGAGCGGCAACCACGCGACTTTTTTCTAATACTTGCATATTTAAACTCGTGATATCTTCCGAATGAAATGTCCGAATTGAATAATTCCAAGAGTTATAAAAAGGTACTGAAGCCGTCTTGAATATAAAGTAATTTATTTTGATAAGGATTAATACCAAGTTACAAATAAAGAGCCTTTTCAAGCGGCGGATAATAAATTAAATTTTTAGAATAAAAAACCGCTTACTGTGACATAACTACATATAATATTTAGACATATGCTGTCGCGACACTTTTTGTAGATAATGATGAGTTCTGCAAAGTCGTAGTAAATGATTTGGTTCTATCATCAATAGTTTTCGCAGCGCACGCGACGTAAGGAATTTTTCAGATCATTTTTTTACACCTTGGGTTACATTATTAGAGTTTTAGTAAGGATCTCTAATTTTTATTTAAATATAATATAGCTTATATTACTCGGGAATAATGTAGCTTTCCCAAGGTGAAAGAACTTTTGAAATCGGTTCAGTAGTTTCGGAGCCTATTCATAACAAATAAACAAACAATTCTTTCCTCTTTATTAGTATAGATGATAAGAATTGTTTTATTGGAATATAAACTATATCATCATAGAAATAAGAACATTAATTGAATGAGCAACTTTCTTTTCAAAATAATGCCCTTTGAATTATAAGTGACAAATTGGGTATTTTTTGCTTCACTTACAATTCCGTAGCTTTTAGATTATGAAAATATTAAAATTAATTGCTGGAAATAATTAAAATAAAGCATTCGAAAAGTTATTTATAATTAAATTGTTTGTACTTTGCTAATACATACATTCATTCTTAATTAATATAGTTGTCTTTACCTATATTTTATTATCTTCTAGCAAGGCGCCCCGGCTTCGCACGCGTTTAATGCTTATATTTAATACACTAAACAAAAACTGTGAACATTGTATATAAACATAGCGACCCGCTCCGGTTTCGCACGGGCAAAAGATCTACATTATATACTGTAAAGAGCCATATAGATCTATATTGAATTAACAGTGTATTTAACTACTTTTTGAATAAAGATTGACGCTGTAAATTAATAAATAAATAAATAAAATAAAATAAACCTTCCTATTCAATTACCCTATCTAGTTAAAAAAATCGCATTAAAATATTTCGTGTAGTTTTACATATTTAAGCATACATAGGGATTTTGGAACATGAAAGCGACTTTGTTTTATACTATGTAGTGATATTAAATTATATATATGTACCTTCCTCTTTAAATACACAATCTTTTAAAAAGCCACATCAAACTCCTTTGCGTAGTTTAAAAGATTTAACCATACAAGGGAATATAGAAACAGAGAAAGCGATTTTGTTCCATACTATGTATGTATGTGGAGATATTAAATGATTTCTCTTCGGTTTCTATCAAATTTTATCCAATCTCATAATCGCAGTTCTTATTCAGCAGTATGAATCTTGAATTTAGTTAATATTTATTTATAATAGACAGACACACTTACTGAGTAATGTAATGCCTCGGCCTCGAATTTTGCGGGCAGCGGAGCGGCGGCGGCGGCGGCACGGAAACGCATACTGTTCTCCAAACTAGCGGGCAGCGGGCACCGCTGTATTCGAGGGTCGGTCCATTTGATTATACGCGTAAGATCCTGCCGCTCCCGCTGCCGCTGCCGCTCCCGCTGCCGCTCCCGCTGCCGCTCCCGCTGCCGCTCCCTCTGCCGCTCCCGCTGCCGCTCCCGCTGCCGCTCCCGCTGCCGCTCCCGCTGCCGCTCCCGCTGCCGCTCCCGCTGCCGCTCCCGCTGCCGCTCCCGCTGCCGCTCCCGCTGCCGCTCCCGCTGACGCTCCCGCTGCCGCTCCCGCTGCCGCTCCCGCTGCCGCTCCCGCTGCCGCTCCCGCTGCCGCTCCCGCTGCCGCTCCCTCTGCCGCTCCCGCTGCCGCTCCCTCTGCCGCTCCCGCTGCCGCTCCCGCTGCCGCTCCCGCTGCCGCTCCCGCTGCCGCTCCCGCTGCCGCTCCCGCTGCCGCTCCCGCTGCCGCTCCCGCTGCCGCTCCCGCTGCCGCTGCCGCTCCCGCTGCCGCTCCCGCTGCCGCTCCCGCTGCCGCTCCCGCTGCCGCTCCCGCTGCCGCTCCCGCTGCCGCTCCCGCTGCCGCTCCCGCTGCCGCTCCCGCTGCCGCTCCCGCTGCCGCTCCCTCTGCCGCCCCCGCTGCCGCCCCCGCTGCCGCCCCCGCTGCCGCCCCCGCTGCCGCCCCCGCTGCCGCCCCCGCTGCCGCTCCCGCTGCCGCCCCCGCTGCCGCTCCCGCTGCCGCTCCGCTGCCCGCAAAATTCGAGGCCGAGGCCTAATTAATATATATTATTTATACGTATAAAAGGACATCCACCTTACTCTTGATATTTGAGCTACACTTAAGGCTTGCATGTTGTGCTTGTTCTCTGATTCGTGTACAGAGATTTCTGGTGGAGTCTGCAGAATATATGATCGTATTAATGTATTTAAAGATACTTCAATGTAACATAAATGCAGGTATTCTCGAGATGGTAGATAACCTGCAAGATAATAGGGTACATAAACTTCCGGTATGAAAACTTACTGTTAAAAAAATACGAACTAAAATGAAAACAAGATATAAATAAGGAACCAAAATAAAAATAAATTGTAAGAGCATTTTTCAGACGATATCGAGTGTCATTTCATTAAAAAGGACATGATTATTTGATCCAAAAATGGTACTGCAGGTAAGAAACTTAAATTTTTCTCTTCATCACCTAAAAATAGACATTTTAACAAGTAGAACACATACCAAATTTTTGAAAAAAGCTGATATTTTGACTTGTGATTTCTCGATTGAAAAAAATTCTGATTTTTCGATATTTATTCAAAATAAGCTGAAAAAATAAATATTTCTAATCAAATACATTACAGCGTATTTATAACATCAAAAGGAAAGTTTTGACCACATTTCGTGACAAAATATTGTTTTTTGTTAGAGACAAAAATAAAAAACCAAAAACTTGGTTTTTCGAGTTTTTCACATAAAATTTGAGGTTATATTAAAAAAAATATTAGAATAAAAGTTTTAGGTCTTTTTATTACCTACATTTTTGCCATATAACATTTTTCCGTAGGACTTTTAGTTTTGCCGGAAATCGAGAAAACCCATTTTTCACCCTTAAATACCCATCCCCATACCCTTCCCGAACTCAGACCGCCCGTATATTATTTTTCCTTTTATTTTTATAATATTCCCCTCCTTTTCTAATAAGTTTCATTCTACTATAATTTACTTTCACTTTTCATTAATTTTAAAGGCTTCTGCACTGGTCTAATCATAGAATGAAACGTTTTATATTATAACTTTGTAGTTTCATAATTAATTAATATATTTAGATGTCAAAGATTCGTCCAATCAAAAATCAATATTCGATTTCATCGTGAGACAATTCATCAATTAATATATTAGTTTAAATTTTCATCTATTATTATAGTTATATTCACCCTCCCGTTAATAATTTAAATCAGGGGGATTTTAAAATGACGTATTACATTATATTATTACATATCAAACGTTTTTTAGCTACTCAATATTATAATTCCCTTGTTTATTGGAGTAACTTTTCTTTGTAATAGAAAATATGTGACATTTGTTATTCTTCTTTTTCTTAACAAAAAAATAATAAGAAAACTTTTAAAAACCAAAAAGGTTCAACGGAACACTTTTATGATATGAAAAATTAAAGTAATTTATTTTATATAACATTGTGAAATAATTACATATTTAATAGTAATATAATTTATCGAATTAAGTTTACTTTTTGTTCTAAATTATTATTTATTTATGTTTTTTTTTTGATGACGCAGGGAAACTCTTTTTACGAGCCGTCCAACCGGCCTTGGTGGGGCCGGAAGGGATGTGTGAAGCTCGGCCTGGGCAGGCCCCTACTCACTAAAACCCCGTACCCCGTACCCCGTACCGGCACACCAGCGACTGGCCGGTCCTGGCAAAGACCGGACTTACTCCCTCGGAGAATGGGGGCGATCCCGGCAATTAGGACCGCCCCAACGACGCCGGGCTTTCAATAGGGCCGGGTTACCACACCGACCCCAGCCCGGAAAACAAGGGAGCTATTGGAGGCGTTGGAATTGCCTCCGTCGCACCCCCGTACGTCGCCTGCGGGGGGAGGGAGCATCTGTTGCCCTCTTCTTTTCCTGCTCAGATGCCTTCTTCGTGGACATGACCGTTTTATAATCTCTACAAATAAAGCCTTTAACTGTTTACACTTTTGAACATTTCTAGTTAATCTTCACATACGAAACATGTTCGCAACGTGTTTTTTTTTTTATTTATAACAATTATTTATTTTATGTTTTAAAATAAATGTTCAAAAATTTTACAATATAAAAGAGTATAATAATTTTAGATAATATTGGTAACGTTATATTTAAAAAAAAATATATATAACAAATCCGAGGGAAAATTAATTTTAATAATTTACATTTAAAAAAGAAAAAGAAAAATGTAAAAAAAGAACGGGAATTAGAACTGTTTAAAATAGTAGTTTGGTATAGGCGTGTGAGAAACTATGGTAATAAATTAAAATTGTGAACCTCTGCTGTGTTGGATTTCATTTGTACGCCATATTGAGGAGCGCTTTGTAAACATATTTAATTATTTATATGTGTTTGATTATAAACCTAGATAATGTCAGTTTCCTTCAAACCTATACTAATCAAAGTACTTCGATGAAATAATAAATTACAACATTGTTATGAGTTAAAGCAATTTGTTTAGTATTAAACGGACAGACATCAGAAACGGTTGGATAAAGGTCTTGTATGGAATGAGTGTAGGACATAACTACCGGAAAACAAATTAAGAGAAACTTTGATTAAATACTGTGAGTTCGAATACAAACAAACAACAGTCTGGCTGACAGAGTTATAAAGAATTACGAGTAATTTAATGGATTTTCACTAGGGACGTTGGTTTAAATAGTTTTAAATATCTACTTATATATTGTATGATTTTTTATATTCGAATATTTAAACTTCTCTTTTGAATAGTTCTCTTTGTTAATGTTACGAGGTACTCACATAATTCTCGGTTGTGTATTTTAATTTCACTGCAATGCAAAACAAATTTGGAGCAATTTTCAAGACTTGACTCAAAAGACGCCGTTTAAATTAGAGAGTAATTCTTTCACTACAAGGAATTCTAGTCACTGAACTCGACTTTATTGATTCTTCCAAGTGGTTATTTTTCATAACGCTTTTTTTTTGTTTTTTGCACGTTGTACGAAGTTAACATAATATATGTATATTTTTTCAGTCAATACATTTTATTTGTTTGAGAGAAAATAAATTAAGACACATGAACAAACTGCAGTTTGAAATACTATATATGTAATTCAAAGTTTGAAAGTAATTTAATAAGATTGTTTATTTAGTTAATTTTTTTGTTAATAGAAATACATGTATCATGATTATATTTCATTGTTTTTTTTTAATGAATTTTTGAGAACATTGATTTTTAAAACATTTTCTTTCGTTTGTTTGTTATTTATTTTACAAACGTGCACTTAAAGTATATAATTTTCAATATTATCTGTTAATTTACCGTCTTTTATTAACGATCCATAATCCTCAAGTCATCAATTCAAGTGTTTTTCATCTCATCTCCTTTTTATTATATCTTCAGCTTCATCAATCCGATCTCTTTATGACAGTTCAAATGGTCCTTTTATATATTACTAGGATATGATATTACAGTCACATATGTGTTATAAAAACAATATGTGAACTTAGTGAATATATTTGATTGGAAAAATGTTGTCATGGTTTATAAATTATGTAGAAAACAGTTTCAAACTATATTATATTGGAGACTAGTATATTACTTTTACTAGTCTGCTATTTAATACTTGCTTATGAAACCAAAATAAAATCTCAATTCGAAAAAGAATAATTTCATAGGTTAGAAAATTTTAATGTTTTTAAAATAGCAAAGACACATGTTAATAGCTCGCTTGATAGAATAACCTGTATGTCTAAATCTACCTATATATACAAAATCAACATTTTAATATATTTTATAATATAGTTGTAAAAAATATAATTATTTATATGTTTTCAAGCCACAGGACAAACTAATCTGCTTTTCTAATTTGATACATTTTACTTTCTATACTTTACCAGAGCATGAAAAGGTATTTAAAGAAACGTTAAAGAATTATTAAAAAAATAATAAGAAAAAATTAAAAATCCCAAAATTATGTATGTTTTTAAATATTAACTCAAATTGTTCACTATATAAGGTATTTAAAAGTTATTATTATATAAATAAATATTACTAGTAATTACTATATAAATAAAATAAAAAGTGTATTTCACATGATCAAATGTTTAGGAACTCAATCTTCTCTACTTACTGTATTTACGATATGAATATTATGTAAGTTAAAGGTAATTGATATAAATATGTACAAAATAGGAATATAATAATGTGTGACTTCTTGGTAGAGGATGTGTGGTTTGTTAAATCAGATGTAGTGGTTTGATTTGTCTATTGTGATGTTTGGCTAAACCGCAGCCATGTTTATGTTACTGTGTTATTTATTTTTTTTTATAAAGGAACCTATTCCTAAGAGATTTGAATGTTTTGGTCGCGTTAATGTATTGTTTTAGATAAATTAAAATATACTCGTAATTCAGCTTTTTCCCAAATATAATAGAAAAAATCTTAAATTTTAACTATCTAAACATTACCATACAGTAATGTTTGGTAGGTTTGTGAAAATTCCATGTTTAACATGTTTAACATGCTGTATTTTGGCCTCTAGGTATTCAGTAACGCAAAGGTGTTAGCATCTTTCGAACAAATACTTACGTATGGCTAACAAACTACTAATGTAGTTGTATATAGAGATTCAGTATTGAGAAAGTGATGATTGTATGAAGAATTATTGTTGCTGTACCTTATGAGGGTTGAGATTAGATATAATATTAACAAATAGTTTAAGTAAGTCATTGGATGAAGTCCTTAAAAATATATTTGTATAACGAAAACAATATGACTGTACATTGTTAAGTATCGTGTTCGATACTTATAATGTATAGGAAATATTAACCCATTCATTATAAATTTTTATCAAAATAAATATATCTGATGTAAAACAATAGCCATTTCCGTAGGCTAATCAATTATTTATTTAACTCATAGTAATTATGAGGTTCACAGGTGTTAGGAATTTGACGTATCAACTATGGTAGCTAAATCTTAAGTTATACTTCATTTTTTATAATTTCATTCCACTTATTTAAAGACAAATTATTTTGTTTAATAAAG